AAAAAAAAATCAGATGCTGAAAAAAGAAGCTAGAGCATTTAGATATAGCAGGAATAGCAGGACTGCCCGAGCTAACAGTATGGGTCTCCGAAGTCAATGATGTTGCTGGGACGCTTACAGACACTGAATATAGCTATGGCAGATCTTTCGATCCTGGACTGCATAACTCCAGTTAAGATTTAGGCTTATAACTAAATGTTTGCAGAAATTTTAAAGATACGAACTTGCTTTAGGCTTTATTTATATGTGAAAAGAAATGTAGAAAAAAAGAGAAAAACTAACCAGCACCCAAGCGGAGTAATACAGAGCATTAAATGGAAGAGTGTCGTTGGCATAGCTAGCAAGATCTGTGCAAAGAGGTCTGGCTGCTTTTTCGAATTCCAAATGAGTGACATCAGTTGTACTCCATGGATACTTGTCGTCATTGAAATAGAGTGTGTCAACAAAACCGGACGAATTTCGATAGTACTTGATCCCATAAATGCAGTACTTATAGCTAGGACTAAATCACGATCATTTAATTGTTCGCACGATTTGCTTATTTACAATTAGAGATATTTGGAGTACCCATCCGTAACGGTATTTAGAATGGAACCGCTCCCTTCAGGGGGGATTTCCATGTCCGAACTAAGAGAATGACGCCAGGATTGCCAGAAAGATGAAGTTTCTATGGTGTAGCACTAGTCAGAGAAGCTAAAAAAGTTGCCAGCTGCACAAATAGGGAACCAGCTTCAGTGGCAGCTAATCAAAGTACTTATTTCTTTTCAAAGCAGAAGCAATAAAAGAAGGAAAATTTTGTTGTCTTTCCTGCATCATCTTGACAATTCTGATCTGTGTTCTCGGTGCTATAATGATGTATCCTCGATGGTGAGAATCGTAACATCAAGTCTGTCCAGAAATTGGATGTATGGTTCCTTCTGATTTAAAATGCGTGCTTAATGAGGGACAAATTCAGGAATTTCGCGGTAGATTTCAACAACAAACTTTTTTGGAACAGAAAATTCGAATAACAACG